TAAGAGTTTATTAATTTCATATTTCAATTAGTATTAATATTTCCTTCATCAATAGCTTGCAAGACAAGCTTGTTAATGATCAATTTATCTATAGTTGGGGTTTATTACACTCTCCATATATTTTCGTAATTTATACCATCTCCACAGCTGTATATTTTATCTTCTCCCACTGTTGGTCGGTTGGTCTTGAGTAATACTTTTACATTTAAATTTTATGGTTCCCACATTGACTGTGAGTTTAACTGAACTATTGGGATTATACCCGAATTATACAAAATCTGTAAACTAATTTTCGAAGCCAAATTCAGATTTTTGTTTTAATCTGTGCTTTCTAAGAATTGCAAGGCAAAACAGACGTTGTTAATGATGTTATTAAAGACATTAGTTTACGGATTTTATGTCAGATGTCGTTATTTGCGTCCATTAGAAGCCATAGAGTTGCTTCCTAAGACAGAAGAGATTTATTTTCTCGTTCAGAGCGACTGTGAATTGCCATTCTGAAGAGGCCTATTAGGCCGAAATACGTGCAAGCAGATACACAGACGCACTATACGTGAAATCAAATCTTAACTGTCTTTTACTTCCGAATTATACACTTTGTTTTCAGCTTTGAGTTTTAATTCCAAGTATTTCAATTTCATAGTTCGATTTCTTCTTTTCTACAGTATTAGTAGTACTTGCTAGCCCTTTTTATTGTAATAAATACCACCCACAATAGATTGTTTAGTCTAGTTCTTACATTCACACTCTATGTCCACTTCAGTTGTCCCCAAACTAACACCCAAATTATTACTGACAGGTTTGAGTATGATATCTGGAATATGCAATATACATGAAGTAATCTATCTAATTTCATATTTCATCAGTTGACTTTCTATATTAGTGTCAGTTGGACGTTTGGTCAATGTTCAGTTTACACCATAGAATTTGAAAATAGAAGAGCACAGCACCATGTTTGTGACTGCTCATCCAATTGATATATGCAGATGTGACTTTAACATTTCTCTCCTGCTGCCGCCCCACTATGTAGCTTCTTCAAATTTAAATTTTTTTAATACTAATTGTCCATTGTCTAGTGTTGTATAAACGTATTATTTAATGTTTATGACATTCATAAAAGTGGATAGCCTTAAATTTGACGAATAAAGTCTAAAAGTTATATAAAATTTTTTATCAACGGTCAACTTTGATGAGTTTTTTTTTCAAATCTGGTGAGATACCTACAGAAAGGCTTTTTTTCTTCTTTTATGAGGGGGGGGGGCGATTCAAATGTTCGAAACATACCTCGGCCCTAGAAGGCGAGCAGAACCGCCTTCCAGCCTCGGTTATGCAGGACCCCTCCAGCGTGGCCACGATGATATCCGAGGCCGCTCGCTCGGGTTGTTCGGACACCATCGCCGCCAATGCCAGAGACCTACCTGCTAAAAAAACACCCTCCTCAGCGGTGAATTACCTGCCGGATCGCCCTGATTGGGACGCAACCTCGGCACGGCATTCACCTGAACTTTCATTCACGCACAATTCTCACGCATTCTAGCACTTTCTCACTACGACGGCATTCTTCTCTCCCTCTATTCCTCCCTATTCATATTAAATCTCACTCATTCTGCCTTATCTTATTGCTTGGTCCTGGGCATCCTGCCTATCTTCGGGTCGCCTTTCTTCTTGTTCCTTTCTTTCCAATGTTTTCCTCACATATCTCTGAACTGCTCTCCACCGCTCTGACAACCTAAGCATCTCCTCCACCAATTCCTTGACTGATTGCACCCTACCTCCTAACTCTCTCTCAAGCAGGCTCCTCTCAACTATCCATCTATCGCATACCAATAGGGTGTGTGAGACAGTGTCCGATATTCCACAATACAGGCATTTGTCATTTTCTGCCTTTCCAAATCTGTAAAGGTATGCCCTGAAGCAACCATATCCTGTGAGCATCTGCGTCAGGAAATAATCCAAACGCCGGTGCCCGCAATCCATCTATCTTCTCAGGTTAGGAATCAACGACTTCGTCCACTGCGCCACCCTTCTCATCTCATCCCATTCCTCTTGCCACACCATTATGGACCTTTCCCTTTCTTCTTTTTTTAAACGTTCTATTGCTTTATCTTCATTTCTTCTCTCGTATATTTTTCCTCTTTCCTTCACTAGCACGTGCATTAGAATACATCCAGTGATAACTCCTAACGCTTCTGCAGAGACTGTTGTGTATGCATACGCCACCCTCAATAGGCTCTTCCTATCTGCTCGGGTGAGCTGTTTTCTGTACGCCTTTGTTAAAACTGCAGAACTCCAGACCGGCTCAGGGTAGAGGACGATCGATTGCACGACAGAATGAAGATTTGGGCCCTCCGATGTTGGGCATGATCCCTCCCAATGCAGCGGATCTCACCGCAGCTCTTTGAGTCACCGCTTTTACGTGCTTCCTCCACTTTCCGTTTTGACTCATGGTCACCCCTAAATACCTCACGCATTTCTTTGGAACCACTATCTTTCCTGCATATTCAAATGTTATCCCGTCCCTTTTCCTTGGTCCCTTGAGAATTATAGCCTCGGTCTTACCCCCAGCCAGTTCTAGCTCAAGCATTTTGATCCATTCCTCAACTTGGTTGCATGTGCGCTGTGCACCAAAGATAAGGTCCTCCCTGCCCCACCTACAGAAAGGCTACCATCAACCTTTGTTCCGCTACCAAAAACCAAGAATTCCAAATACTGTAATTACTATAGATTAATCAGCTTAATTCCACAACTATACAAAATATTTTTAAAGGTTATACATGCAAGAATTTTCAGAAAGTGTGAGGAGGATATGAGTAATAGACAGTTTGGCTTTCTATTACTCAGTAAAACTCTAGTAAAAGCTCGGTATAGTTTCACAACTCTTGCTCAAAAATATCGAGAAAACAAAAAGATCTTTTCGTCGCATTTATAGACTTTCGACTTAAAGCTTTCGACAAAATTAAACAACATTTTCACGGAATGTCTAAGCAATAAAAACTCGACAAAAATGACATTAACATAGTAAGAAACCAACAGGCTGTGGTCACATTACACGGAAATAGCATGGATGCGCGACAGATAAGTAGAGGTTTGAGACAAGGCTGTGCACTTTCACCATTACTATTTAGTATATACTCCGAAAATTTATTTACACAAGCACTTGAAAACTGTACAGAAGGGATCAGGATAAATGATGAAAATATAAATAACATTCGTTTTAATTACTATTTATAACTGGGAATAAGCCACATTAAAGATAAAAATACATTTATTGACGTTTCAATTTCCAATTCGGAAATCGTTCTCAAAATACAAATAGTAAATTTACTATTTGTATTTTGAGAACGATTTCCGAATTGGAAATTGAAACGTCAATAAATGTATTTTTATCTTTAATGTGGCTTATTCCCAGTTATAAATAGTAATTAATTTACAATGCCACAAGAAAATAGCTTCAGAACAATATTAAGAAACATTCGTTTTATTATAACACAACGTTATAATAACATTACAGTTATTATCGCTGAAAGTGAGAAGACGCTACTAAACATAATTTGTAATACTAGGGAACAGTTTGGTTTAACAATAAACATAAAGAAAACAAAAACCGTGGTTATCAGTGAGAGGGGTAAATTCATAACAAGGATCGAGATCAAAAATGAAGGTATTGAATAAGAGGACAATATCAAAACCTAGGAGTCTGGACTACTGAAGATCTACATCCAAAATCATAAATTCGATCAAGAATAGAGCATCAAAAGCAGCATTTTTGACGATGAGGAAATTTCAAAGTAACCAAAGTCTCAATCTGCAAATTAGATATCGTATGGTAAAAAGGTTATATCCACTCTATTCTTCTTTATGAATTGTGATTTTGGGCAGGGGCTGATCTTGCCTTTTATCGGTGCTCCCATATATTTCGCTATAAAAGGATTCGACAACCTCGAAGATTCCGGTTCTATCCACAGTAATGTTTCCATCTTTGTTTCATATTTTGTAAATATTTTTGTTCCCTATGTTGTTTGTATTTTTCCTCAAAACTTTTAATTAATCTTTTCATAAGGAAACTAAATTCCTGTTGCTGCTGGTTGTATACCATGTATCACAAAAAATATATTTCAAAATTCTTTTATAACAGGTATATATTAAAACACCCTATCGGCCTACATCACAGAACGTTTTCGGAATTAATATTCCATCATGAGTGCTATCTGGATGTACATGTTTTGGGCCACAAAATACTTGAGTAAAAACCCTTTTAATATTGTTAAATTAAATTTAAGTTACATTATTAATTAAAAGCTGAACATTTTACTTTTGCAACGTATCTTAACTTTTTAAGATAGGACACTTGAATTAAAAGATATCGAATTTTTACCGTCAAGCTGATACAAATTTTATTGAACATTGATTACGTGTGAGTAACTCACATTCACAATCGACGGTCGCTTCAAGCGTTGTTTTGTGAGAACGGTTCATTCTACAAAAAAAGTGTAAACATTTTTGTTTAAAATTATCTCAGCTTAATTGGTAAATCGATTTTTTTGCGTTTTTAACCCCTGGCAGGGGGGGTTTTCTAGGGGGAAGTCCGGAGTAAAAGTGGTAAACTCTTTTACATTTATTTTGGTGTTCCTAAATTAATATTCTCGCGAGTATTATGAAAATTTCGCCTAGCATATTGAATCCGCCATATCTAATTTTGCAAAGTTAATTTTAGATTCGTGGTCAGTGTAAACCTTTTTGTAAACAACTGTTTGATTTCATGCATTGAGAGAAAAATGTAATTTTTTAACGTTTTTTGAAGTTAGAAATAATTAGTGATACTTATAATGGTGGAATTGCATTAACCCAATGGAAATAGCAAAGAGTACGTTGTTTTGTTTGAAATGATATTGTTTTTCTGTTTTATAAAAGCTTTTTTCGTGAAAATAATATTTTTTTGTGAGATACATTGATGGAATGACTATTTGAGGTTTTGGTTGATGATTTTTGTAAACCACCAGATGGCGTTAAAATTTAGAGTTCGCGATGAAGATTTTGGTACCTGGTAACTTTTTTTTCGCAAAAATAAAATTGGGAATTTGTAAAACAATTATAATATTAAATTTTTTTGGGTGTTTTTAGGATACCCTCTCAAGAAAGTATGGATACTCAAAGTGAAAACGATTCCGCAGTTACGGCAAAATTCACTCACATCCTTCAAAAGGACGCCTTCCTTGTATTCAGGGCTTTGTGTAAATTGTCCATGAAACCTCTACCTGAAGGAACGCCTGATCCGAAATCTCATGAGCTTCGGTCTAAAATTTTATCCCTGCAATTACTACTGTCAATTCTTCAGAACGCCGGTCCAGTATTTAGATCTAATGATATGTTCATCACAGCGATTAAGCAGTATTTGTGTGTAGCTTTATCCAAAAACGGAGTCAGTTCCATACCAAAGGTATTCGAACTTTCGCTCGCCATTTTCTTGGCGCTCTTATCGAATTTTAAACTTCATCTCAAGATGCAGATCGAGGTATTTTTTAAGGAAATATTCTTGAATATCTTGGAGACTTCAAATTCTTCCTTTGAGCACAAGGTAAGATTATTTTAATATCATTTTAGTAAATGTATGTTTGTTCATAGATGTTATTGACACCGGACTAATGATTTTACAATAAATGATATCTATAAATTAATCCAACATAGTAAAATAATATTGACACGTTAACTAACGATCTATTCTGTAAGTAATAAAGTAAGGATTTTTAAACTAATTGCCCACATACAGATAACGACATTGTTTTGTTAACCATAGGAATTAAGTAAATAAGTGTGGAACCTCGATTATCCTTCAGGGCACCGGACCAAGGGTATGACGGATAATCGAAAAGACGGTTAACAGAACATTAAAAAAAATTCATAGTATAACTCTCAAAGTTTATTTGTATATTTTATTTGGCAATATAAGAGGGTCGATATGTATAAGGGGAAGATATGTTAGTACAGTCGAATCAATTTGATTTAAAATATTCCGAAATCTTTGTTTGTTTTATTGGTACTTCACATTTTACAATGGCTGAATTTCTTAATCGACAAAAAATCATCAAATCTCCCTTATTTGCTTCTTCTTGCCGAGAATATTAGATGAATTGTTGTATGTGCGATGCAGCTTCTCTAGCTTCTTTACGCAAATCTTTGTGAGTTGCAATAGCATCATCAATATCGCCGTCTGTAGCAGTCACAACTGCTAACATATAATTAATTAATATAATTGATTATTAAAATCCTAAAACCCCTCAGAATCCTGTTCGGGAAACGACAGAAGAGGTGGGTTGGCCCTGGCTCCTACTCCTCGTCAAAATACAGGGAATACAAACACAGTCCAAACTCCTCAAAACCAAGGAACAAGTTTCTCGAGTCTGGATGCCCAAGCTTCCACAAGCCAAACATCTCACCCTCTACCGAATGACAAAAGACCACAGAACGGCAAATACCAACCGAAGAGAGGACAACGTTAGTTGAGCATGAGCACCGTGATTCTTCTGTAGTTTCTTCAAGTAATCCCTTATCTTCGTTTGTTGATTTAGATATAAACTCATTGTTGGTTCGAAAAAACAAGGATAATCGTCCATATCTTGAAATATCTATCTTAGGACATTTTTGTTTAGCTTTACTGGACACAGGGTCCAATACCTCTATTTTAGGTTCTCTAGGTCTGGAATTTCTCCAGAATTCAAATGTAAATATAGGAATAGCTCAAAGTTTGCAAGTGACTACAGCTGATGGTCAAGTTCAACCAATTTTAGGTCAATTCACTACTGAGATTTCTGTTAGTTTTTGTAAAAGAATGATTACATTCTTTGTGATTCTTTCAGTTAAGAATTCAGTCATCCTAGGTATGGATTTTCTGAAAACTTTTATTAGTGAATTAAATTTTACTGAATTTTCCTTATCTGTGTCTTCTTTTAATATCTCTTGTGTCTTACAATCAACATATTTTGTTGTTCCAATTCCTCCCTTAAAGTTATGAGTCGACTTAATGCTCAGGAATTAGAGCAGTTAAATAGTGTTATCACATCATTCTCTTCCATCTCATCGAAAAATCAGTTAGGTCGAACTCATCTCATCGAACATCACATTGACACAAGAGATATTACACGAAGTATTGGGTCGTAGTGATTAAAATATGACCTAAATTTCAAAGCGATCGGTCAAAGATAAAGATATTTTCAAACAATAAACAATCGCCCATACGGCGAAAAGCCCCGTTGAATTCTACCTGATCCCACGAGATCTTATGCCAGAATAAATTTATTTATCACGCATCGGTGATTTTTCGCTGGCAAAAATTCTTCCACAGGCTAAGAGTGTCGACTTAGGAAGCAATTCCCATGCCGTTATTAATTGAAAACTCGGATATTAGTTTGTGTAAATAAACAATTGGGGTGATTATTCTAATCCAAAAAAACTAGTGTTTTCTTCGGAGATTTTTAAAAGGCAAATAAAACCTTATGCAGGATGAAATTTGTAATACGTGAATTAAAACTTTTTAAGTTTTTTTGAATCTTTACAATTTGAGTTGACAATTTTTGTTGTGGTATCCTCGACTTTTGTTTTTGATCTTACCCAGTTCTTCCTCTTTCTATCTGAGAATCGTATGCCTAACATTTTGCTTTCAGTTGACTTTTCCATTGCGGTTTGTTCATATTTGCCTTAGTTAGGGTCAATATTTGACATCCAAATGTCATGTTAGGAAGGATGCACTGGTTGAACACTTTGCTCGTTAAGTATTGAGGAGTAATTGGGGCGTTATACTTTTTAAAAATAAGGTAGTTGTCCTAATGTCAGCTCATCTGGGACAGAAACCTCTCATAGACGTTTAACATTTTTTCACATTAAAACATTTTTTAATTTCTTGTCAGAGTAGTTGTAGGTTATCTCTTAGTATCTTGGAATATTGGCATATGGTATATAAGCGCAGTTGCCACACCACTAACCTTAAGAGCGTAGGCGCAATTTTTAGACAGAGCGAATCGACACCGACTGTCCTATCCCTAGTTTATCTTTCTTTACACAGCAAATTATGTGTAGTAAAATTCTCACTGGCATGAAGGCTTTAAAACTGTCGGTATCTAGTTTATCCAGAATCGGCTTAGCACATGTATATCTGTGAAAAGCTGTGTTGTGTAGATATTGCTCAATTAATTTATAAAGACTATTTATTTCTTTATTTATTATCTTTATTAAATTAAAATATTGGACGTTGTCACAAGAAATGTATTAGTGTAAAACGAAGAAATAGACGGTTAGCTCAATTGAAATAAGTACTTTTTACATAAACTAAATTAATTACTTTTGTATTTTTCTAACTGATTTGTAAATATATAGTGAAAATATCATTTATAAAATCCAATATATTATTGGATATTGGATTATTTATATATTCCAATATCTGTAACCAATATAGTATTGGTTACAGACCATAAAAAATTCTGTATCTTGGACTTAGGAACAAATACTGTTCCTACTGTAAATTATACGGAGAAAATAAAGAACACGTATGTTATAAAAATTGGACAAAAGCTTCGACTGCAATGGAAAGTCAAATAATTCTAGATGGATTTAAATGTAGTAAATACATGCATGGAATAACTTACAAATTTTTAATAGCCGATGGAGATAGTAGTGTTCATAAAAAAAATTTAGAAAATAGACCATATGGTAATAATGTTGTTGAAAAAATTAAATGTCGTAACCACATCCTAAGAAACTATTTTACAAGATTAAAAGAGTTATCAACAAAACGATGTAGTTCCGATGGAAAACTGGTACCAATTTCCTTACGAAAGCTTTTAAAAAATAACGTATTAAGATTAAGAACTGCTGTTACAAGAACAACTGAATACCATCAACAGTGAGACAAACCAAGTGACTTAAAAATAAAGTTTTTGAAAAATGATTATATCTAATAGTCATCTTCATGTATTTGGAAATCATTCAAATTTCGCAGACTATTTTTGTGGCATAAAATTATCAGAAACAGATTATACAATACCAATGAGAGAATACAGCCTCTTGAAAGATATTAGCTAATGTACAGCAAGATTAAAATTCCATGCAAATAGTCTTATGAAAAATATGAGTAACAATGCTGGACAATATAATAATGTAATAGCAAAGTTTCTAGGAGGTCAAAGAATAAATTAGAGCTCTCGGGGGTCCTATGAAATGAGATGCCATGCTGCTGCTTTGTCGTACATTTCTAAAGGTCAATATCACCAAGCCCTTCACAAAAGCATCACAGAAAGAAGTCCTGGCGTATATACAAAAAAATTTAGTTCAGTGTGTATCAAAAATACATTGCGAAGAAAATTATATTACAAAAATTTGCAAAAATTAATAAAATATATAACAAAAAACCATGCTCCACATGAAGATTATGGGCCACAAGCACAAAAAACGTTAAAAATTGATCATTAAATTAGAGAAAATTAAAGAAAAATTTAGATCGGAACTTCATAAGAATAATGAGGAATGTATTCAATTATCCAATAACACAATAGCTCAACGGAATTCAAGTAAATGGTATTCAGAAAGAAGGAAACGTCTGACAGCCTCAAATTTTGGTCGAATTTGTAAGTTAAAGGTAACAACCGACAAAAGAAAGGTTGCCAAAGACACTATTTTAATTGCTTTTAAAGGAAATAAATTCACAGCCCATGAAATAGAAAAATAATCCATTGCAGTATAAGAATTAAGCGAAATGATTGTTTAGATATTTGTCCATCAGGAATGTATGTTCATCAGGAATATCCTTTTTTAGCTGCAACACCAGATGAACTCATAGGTAATAATATGATTGTCGAAATTAAATGTCTAATTTCAGTAAAAGATATATGTCCTAAAGATGCAATAGATAGGAAGATACTAAAGTATATGGAAGTGAAAGATGACAGATATATTTTAAAGAGAAATCATGCAGATTACTATCAAATTCAAGGGCAGCTATTTGTAGTAAATAAAAACTTTTGTTACTTTTGCGTGTGGACCCCGAAAAGATTGATATTCCAGGAGATTGATATATTAATACAAGAAATAATTGGCGAAAAGTGAGGTTGAAAAATGGTATACCTAGAATTAACTTAAGTATACAAAATACAAGATGGCGTTTAAAGGAAATACTGTATTTTTACTAAAGCCTACTCAGAATTTCGTAAAAACATGAATTGTCAATAATGTTGAAATACGTTGGTACACTTAAGACACATAATAATAAATAATCAGAATGCCCACTCTCAGATGCCGCCTTTAAAGTATGTTAGCACGCAAACGCCATGTTTTAGACGGAAACATAGACTCGAATTGAGAAATTTGTGACAAGCTACGACATAACTGTAATTTAAATTTTTAGAGATTGATAATTTAGTACATTTGAAACAATTTAATCTATTCTTCAACTAAAAGTACGAATAAAAATATGTGAAAGTGCATATTATGTCTGTAGTTGCCGTAAATAAATTAAACCGGGTAAATTTATCTATGCACATAAGATAAAATATCACTGAACAGCACCAATTCCGACTAAAACATGGCTGATTCCGTCTGCGCGAACGAGATGCGCGTTCTTATTTTTTTTAGCAGAGTGAGCGTTCTGATTGTTTATTATTCTGCGCGTAAGATATCCTAAATATTGTTTAAACGATAAAATAATTAAACTATAGTCGTACGTTCATATACAAAGTGTTCTAAATAAGGAAAAAATATTCTTCTTCTTCATGTACCATGTCCTTTCAGAACGTTGGTTACCATGATAGATATCTTAATTTTATTCACTGCCACCCTAAATAGCATGCTTGTGTTAACACCATACCAATCTCGCAAGTTATGTAACGATGAGGTTCTTGTTCGTCCTTAACTGCGTTTGCCTGCTATTTTTCCTTGCATGATATTTTGTAGCAACCTATATTTGGGACCCTCTCATTACATGTCCGAAACACTCCAGTTTTCAATGTTTGGTGCTTTTTATGATCTCAGTAGTCTTGCTGAAACATTCTAGTATTGTGGAGTTTCGAATCTTCTCCACCCAGGAAACTTTTAAAATTCTTCTATAGCACCACATTTCGAAACCCTCAAGGCGATTTAGATCGATTTTATTTACAGTCCAGGACTCGACATCATAAAGTAAGACCGAGAACACGTAGCAGCGAAGTAGGCGGTTCTTCAAAGCCAATTTTAGGTCTCTGTTACATAACACCTTGGACATCCTTGTAAAAGCAGCTCTAGCCTGCTCTATACTAGATCTAATTTCGCCGTGACTTTCTGCGTTACAATTTAATTGCTGTCCAAGATAAACAACTAATAATAATAAGAAAAAATTATAAAAAATTTAATATAACTAAAAAAACAAAATTTAATTGTGAAATAATTGTGATATAACAAATAATAAAATAATAATTATAAATAATTGACACCCTGTGTATTTGCATATAACTTTAAATACGTCGGTATTCTCTATTATTACGCTTTACCTACAATTAAAATATTGTTTGGCTAAATTCATTGGTTTAGGAGTTATTATTTTTTTTAATGCCCTACAATTTAAGGAAAATAGAAATATCTCCGGAATTACAATATTAAGGTATAAAAAATGCAATAAAATATGGGAGTTTTATAAAAACAAACATACGTTTGATACGTCCACTTTATGAGACCCCTCGTATATTTCAAAATAATTTTAAAATTGCTTATACATTCCCATTGCAAATTTATTTCGAACACTTTACTTTCGATAATACATCTGTTTTGAGAGTCGACAGACACGTTTTCCTAGAACTGCATCGACATAGATAAATAGTAGGGCATCGACACCCAAAAATTTCAAGCACAGATGTTTTTACCTCTGGTAAACACTCATTTATATGTAATAATTTCTTAGGGTAATAAAAAGCATATAAAACAACCCAGGAAACACACTTTTGAAATAATCCAATAATGATAAGTTATTAATTATGATTAATAGGATCTTATTGCAGAGAATATTTATTACAATTAACATATCTTTTAATTATTAGTTTTTATTTTATTTTCAATATAGGTACCTAGTTATTATACTATGTATTTTCTAGAGGCCTATGTAACCACTCTCTTCTATATAAATAGACAAACAATTTAAGTTTCAAGTCTTAAAAGTACCATTGATATAGTCCAAGATAAATATTGTAAATAAACAATAAAGGTACATTCAACTGAAAACTACAACATTGAAAAGTGTGTTAATCATTAAACTCTAAAAAAAAATAAACAAAAAAATATGTAGATGTGTAAAATGAAAAAAAAAGCGTTAAACCTCTTCATGAAAAGCAAAAAACCTTTAATTATAAACTCTTACAATCATCTTTCTTATAATATGATGTCAAAAATTTAAAAATTCACTCAAGATATGTCATGCGCCACCTTCGTAGCTTTTCATATCTACACCATGGTCACTTTAGTTTATTCCTAAACTCGCATTTACGATTATGAAAACAAACTCTTATAAAATAATACTTTTATTTGAACTTTAACGACTTAATCTGATACTTAGATCTTCAATAAATAATAAACAATAAATAATTTTGTATTAATTTCCCATCTTAAATTAATTATTTATTAAATAAACTATTAATATTAGTTAATAAGCAACACAAAATATTCCTGAAGCCGTGTCAAACATTTAATAGCCTTGCCACCACTTTCAGTTCGACTGAGTGCGTTGTATGACAAAGATAGCGAATGTTCGATTTGGAAAATATTACCGCGGACATGGTGTTCATTTTTTTCGAATCCTGAAAAAACTAAAACATATTTTTGAAAAATTTAAACGCAGAATGAAAGATTACATTATTACCGAGGGCCGAAAGTCCCTTAGAATAAACAAAAAGTTTTTTTGAATGAGATATTTGAGATTAAAAATCACACTAAATTTTCTCTTCTTTTTCACCCCTGTAACTAATTAAAATAAAACATTATAGAAGTTTTTAGGGACTTTCGGCCCTCGGTAATATTGTAATCTTTCATTCTGCGTTTAAATTTTTCAAAAATATTTATTAGTTTTCTCAGATTCGAAAAAAATGATTGCATTTAAAAAGCATTGGTCCGAAATTTTGCGCCTACGCTCTTAATGTATATTACCTATGTCTAGCTGAAATATTTACGTTCTGTATAATTATGAACGCAAGGTACCATTTTCGTTGGAAACATGAGTATAAAATTTAATTTTTTTTTAAATTCCATGAAACGGCCCTATCGCACTATCAGAGAATTATTATTTCATATTCTATATTTCATTTAAAAAACGAAAAATGTTTGGAAAAAAACATTTATTAATAAATTCTTCGATAGACATACAATCCACCACTTTCACCTATCAGACAGGAAAATAAGTTCCGTCAGACAATATGAAAAATTGTTTTTGCTGCTGTTAATGAAAGTATCATTAAAAATATATCTGGTTATGTATGAATTCCGTCCAAGTCGTCAGACGCGTTGAATGGCCTATATTTATCATCAGACAATTTTATTTTCGTCTCTTTCTCATAAGTGCAAAGAAAACCGCAAAGGGAAACCGTGTCAATTTGGCCTAATGATTCGATACTAGTTTGGAGAGAGTATACATCATAAACTTTTTTGCTGGCGGGCACTTTACCTAATATTTTTAGTTGAAAATTATGTTTTCTTATTTTTATTAACTATTTATATGCATGAATGGTAGACTAATTTGATAACAATAAAATCCTAACACTAAAGTTCTCATTTTCTGTACAGTGGATGGTGATCCAAGCCCTGACCCGCATCTGCGGCGACGCCCAAAGCGTCGTCGACATCTACGTTAACTACGACTGTGATCTATCGGCTGCCAATCTCTTTGAACGGCTTGTGAACGATTTGTTCAAAGTAGCTCAAGGCCGCCATTCCTTAGAACTAGGTGCATCTCCGAATCAAGAACGAGCAATGAAACTACGTGGATTGGAATGTTTAGTATCCATATTAAAGTGCATGGTGGAGTGGAGCAAGGATTTGTATGTGAATCCCAATTTGCAATCTACCGTAGGACCAAGGGAAACTAGGGAAAACGATAACGTATCTATTAAATCCCACGGTGGATCTTCGAATAGCTTACATTCGAGTGAGAGTGGGAGTAACAAGGAGAATCTAGATTCGCCTGAGCAGTTAGAGGTGCTGAAACAGCAGAAGGAGGTGAGTAAATCCTCTTTAATATATTTGTATGTATATACGATCAATCTTAATAAATTAACTTTTTAAAGGATGAATGATTAAAAGTAAATTTGGGTTGAGTTTACGGAAAGTATAAGCTGAATATAGCCGCAAATGTCAACCAAGAATTAAAATATTTCGGTTTGGCAGTGTTGGGATGTTTTTAGAATGTATCTGTTTTATACTTAAAATATATAGAGAGAAAGCTTTTAAAAAGTACATGTCGATTATACTATTTCATGAATTCTGCAATTTTTAATTTATATGAAACAAATTGCAAACATCTGTTGCAATCTGGCAACTGCTGATTTGACGATTGCCAAATCTATTCCCTAATCTATCAAAGGGTAATTGCCAAAAAAATTCTAATAATTAACTGCAATTAATCTCCAAAGAAACAAATATTTACTCATTCTTGTTTTATATAAATCAAAAATTGCAGAATTCATAACATAATATAAACAAACTGTACTTTTCTGAAACTTTTTCTTTTTAATCTGAAGCATCCACATTATAAAAACATGTCAACACTGCTAATCCGAAATTTTTTGTTCCATATTTGACATTTCCGGCTATAATCAGCTTGTACTTTCGGTAAACTCAACGTAAATTTGGTTTGAATCGAAAGAAAAAAATTAAAAGCCCGTCCGAGATGTTGGTGTTTTTTGTCGATTAATCCATGTAGTTCTATTTCTTCTCTTATTATGTTTTCGTGGTGTTATTTTAGCTTATAATGTGGCCCAATATTTTGAATATTTTGAAATATCGTGTGATATAATACTCAATACACTGCCCCACATTGAAAATATCTTAATATGTTGCCATGTCAGTAAGTATGAAAATATCTTAATATTTTTTGGTAATGAACTGTTGCATTAAATGATTAAAATGTCATAACAATCTCAAAAGTACCATTGTTATTAAAAAAATCACTGTTTATTATCGCCTGAAGTGGCTTTTGGCCTATTCCACTGCTACCTTTTCAGATCTATTGTGATCGTCTTCTTCAAGTTCCACTCCTATCGGAGATTGGAAATCATTCTGGCAGTTATAATTTTATTGGTTACGCGCCTGAATAGTTCAATTGAACTGCATCCAAACCATTCATGGAGATTGCGTAGCCACGAGACTTTACGTCTTCCTACGCTTCTTCTACCTTTGATTTTACCCTGCATTATATTCCTTAGTAGTTCCATTTTTCACCTCTCATAATGTGCCCCAAGTATTCCAATTTCCTAATTTTTATGGAATTTAAAACTTCGCATTGTTTTCCTAGTTGTTCGAGAACTTGTTCGTTTGTTTTGCGATTCATCCATGATATTTTCAAAATACGTCGGTAACACCACATTTCGAATGCTTCTAGGTTTTTAATGTTGGATTTTTTAAGTGTCCAAGCTTCAACTCCATACAAAAGGGTAGAGAAAATATTACACTATTTTGATCATCTAGCATTAATTTCATTATCTATCTCGACCCTGGTCAAAAGTGTAATAACTTCGAGACTGAACCTTCTATGTAGCTCTTTTCCAGTGGCTTTTCTTCAGGCTGTCACACTAATATTAAGTGTGCTCTGCTGTTTCTTCTCCTAGATGACAAAATATGCACACGTCATTATCTGCCTAGCCTATCAGCTTCAACTGCCTATTCAGCTTATAGTGTCCTTACTTAGCACCTACCCTAGTACCCAGGCTACCTAACCGCTACGGTCTCCTTGTTTCTAACAATAAAACAATGAAAACTTTTTATTTCAACACTTTGATCAAATTTATTTTAAATTATTATTACTACAAAATAGTCTCGTTCAAACCTTCGAGTTGGAAATAAGCATCGAAGAAGTACTCGTGTATAATTATATTATCTTTTTGTAATTAGCACCTATAATTAGTATAGGCCATTCGTTATCAAGAAACTTGAAAACAATAACCGAAAAAAGTGTTTGTGTTCAATGTTTCTATAATTATCCAACAAGGAACTAATACAAATTTAATTACTACATTTATTAACATAAATATAAATACAATAGTCCTGTATATTAACAAAATATGCCGGAATGTCTTAATAATTCCTAGTTGTAATTAGAGGAAAACTATGGATCATCAAGTAGATAACCAAGAACCAACTAGTTATCAATGCATTGGGGACATAAGTCTAGCCATTAGAAAATGCTGCCTAGCCCGGACTCTTTTACCTGGAAGAAATCGAAAAGACAGTTAACTCACTACATGAACAGCAGCAAAAATTTAAAACACGCAACAATGATTTACATACAAATTTACCAAACATTCAATTAGAGAAACCACAAAAAAATTTCCCAGATGCAGATGAGATAAAAAGTGATAGTGAAAGGGTATCAGTTCACCACAAGAAACGTGAACGCAACGAAGATAGTTCTGAATTAAAAAACACTAAACAAGCTACACTCAAAGATTATTGGCTAAGTAAAACTGTTCTTACATCTAACAGATACGCGGCACTTGAAAATGATAAACCTAGTGAAGAGGTTAAAATGCTAGAAGACCAAAAAGATTAACAGCCACCACCTATATTTATACAAAATGTCGAGTGTATCAAACCATTACAGGAATTACTACAGCAGATAACTCCAGGTAAATATACTTTAAAATGCCCTGCCAACAACCAAATTAAAGTTCAAGCTGACTCATCCAAAAACTATTCATTAATTGTAAAATCTTTAGCAGAAAAAAATACTCAGTTCCACACATACCAACTAAAACAAAACCGTGAATTCAGAGTTGTTATACGTAATTTACATCCTTCAACAGGTCCAGATGACATTAAAAAAGCGTTGCTAGTGCACGGACATAGAGGTCAAAGGAAAGATCTTCCACTATTTAATATAGAACTGGCTATTCAAAGTAATAATAAAGATATATGATAATGATGTTACAAAATTACTCAACTCTATTGTCACAGTTGAGCCACCGCATCCGAAAAAGGAACTACCCAAATGTCACAGTTGTCAATATTTTGGCCACATACACAATTATTGCCACAGGAGTCCGCGCTGTGTAAAATGCGTGAGCGATCACCTATCATCTCAATGTCCAAAACAAAACAATATATAAGATGTTCAATGCGTAAATTGCCTAGAAAATCATCCCGTCAGCTTTAAGGGATGTTGAGTATAAGAGTGTATAAGAGTATTGGATATAGAATTTTATATCATTAAGCAAATAGTAGTAAACAATGGGTATAACGAATACACAATAAATAAAATTTTAAATCAAACCCTTTACCTTCTGTTCGATTACATATACGAGTAAGATATCAACAAAAATAGCCAAACACATAAACAAGAAAGGAATAATACCAGCTTTTAGAACAAACAATTCTTCTTCTTAAGGTGCCGTGCATTTCTGCGTAGGCGTCCACCGTACATCGTCTTGTCAGGTGAGATGTTAAATATTCTGGATTAAATAATTCTGTTTTTAGCAGCATTGCGAAGCATTTCATAGCTGTGGATTCCTGTCCATTGTCGAATATTGCGCAGCCATGACATTTTTTTACGTCCGAGACCTCTCCTACCCTCTATCTTCCCTTCGAGTATCAGTTGCTAGAACAAACAATAACTTAGACAAATATATTAGTCAAAATAAAAAGCACTTACACAGCGGTGTATACAAACTTAAATGTGGCGACTGCCCAAAAACTTACATCGGTCAAACTGATAGAACTTTTATCAAACGTATAGCAGAACATAAAAGGACTTTCAATAATAGAAAAACAGACTCTACGTATGTACTTCACCTTCTAGACCATAATCATTTTTTTTATGGCGAATTTCAACTTCTACACTTTCAAAATAAAGGCCTTAAGCTATCTTTATTAGAATACATAAAAGTCAACAAATTAGAAAATACATAGTTTTGAATGACCAACTTAAGACAAATAGTTCTCCCTCCTCAACCTATTCAGTTAAAGACTATAAAGTGTAAACACAACAAAAATGTATCACTTGAGAACGGAACTCTGGCCGAAACAGCTGTAATGTTAATAATTTAAAATAAATTTTGTGAAAGTTTTGGAATCAAAAGTTTTCAGTGTTTTATTGTTAGATAAAATGAATTTCCTTCAAGTAACTGTCGAATCCGTCACTGTCTCCTAGTTTATTTAGGGCACCCAACCAACTCCATATTGGTTTAGAATTGACCTATACAGAATTGAGTGCCTTAAGCGCTGCCTGGCTATCTGTGAAGATGTCAGTTGAACGGTACGTTCTTTTCTACCTTTCTATTTTTTTCATAATGGATTGCGTTATTTCCGCCTGGAAAATTGTGACGTCCTTAGATAGACTTAGACTTACCAGAAAATGTATCCCTTACTTTGTCCCGCTGTCCACACTTTCTTTTTTACGTGCCATCTCCACGACGAAGGTTGGTAATCATCACTGCTATTCTAACTTTTGACACTACAGTCCGAAAGAGTTGGCGACCTATACTGCTTCGTGACGGAAGCAGTATAGGCACTATGATTTAATACCTTGAATTTGTTTTCAATCCGACCTCGGCCGACGTCGCCCGATATCGGATCGGGAGAAATACGGTTCCAATGTAGGTGTACACTTAATCTGGTACTCGTTCATGAAAACTTTCATGAGCGTGTATAGGGTTAGACTTGTACCCTTTGTTTATCCTAGATGTAATAATACCTTATCCGTGGTCCAGTATTGTTTGTCTGTTAAAATAAATGTCTTGACGGACCCCTAGACGAGAAGCGAGTGTCCTTGTATTTTCCTTCGACGTGTTCTATTAATTATTCGTCTATTTCGTTTTAGGGATATCACTGTGCATTTGTCTGAGACTAATAATCTGTATGTAAATTTTCTTTTTAATAATCTGTACTTATGTGTATATACTTTCTTAAGGAATATATTATAACCTTTTGAGACTGGCTGAATGACCAAATCTATGCCACAAAAAAAATAAAACAAGAGATTTCTAACTTGCAATAATAAACTTTTA